GTTTGTTTTTAATGGGACAGAGTTTCAGTTTGGAAGGATGAAGTTCTGGAGGTGATGGACGTGGCGGGTGCACAGCAATATGAATGCATATGATGCCACTGAACTGAACGCTTAAACATGGTTAAAATGGTAGTTTTTATGTTATATATATTTACCACAGTATACAATTTAATTTTAAAATTTATTTTTAAAATTTTCACTCATTAGATTTCAAAAAATAAAATTCCATCAGCAAGGATGAGAAGCAACCAGAACGCATCTCCAGCTGGGGAGATGGGACCCCGCTTTGGAGATGTTGTCCACCCTGGAGAGCGATCGGCTTCTCTAGCAAAGACCGAGGCGGCATATTCCCTGCTTACTCCACCCCCATCCCCCGCCAACTGCACCCCCAGTAACACATCCTTGAGACTCTCTCCCACTGGTACATAAGGAGACAAATTCTGGAAGATTTGCTGCAACATCATTTGTAACAGAAAAAATGGAAAAAACCTAAATGGTTATCCACAGAAGAAAGAATACATAATTTCTGGTTTATTTAGATGGTGGAAAAACGAAGTGAAAGTAACTGAAATATGGCTACTAAGTATGTGAATTTAGATAAACCTCAACAATATAAGGGGGGCCAGAAAAAGGCCAAATTACAGAAGGATCCATGGAGCCTAATACCATTTATATACTGTTGAAAAGCGCGTGATTTTTATACCCACAAGAGCCGCCATTAAACCGTACAAAGGAATACAGCCAAAAAGCCAATAGGCAAATGAAAATGGAATACTAGCAAACTTTCAAGTAATCCAAAATAAGGCAGAAAACGGAAACAGGTGAAAAAAGAAAACCAGAGGGGCAAAGAGTAAACAAACAGCCCATTGGCAGCCCTAAGTCAAACCCGATCAGGGGTTACATTAAATGCAACTGATCTAAACACACCAATGAAAAGGCAGAGATTTTCACATTGGCCTTTTTAAAATTCATAGTTAAAACCTTCAAACAACAACAAAAACATAAGTAAGCAAAGCTTCCTAGGCCAACATGACCACTAGCAAATTCTACAAAACGTTTAAGGAAATAATAAGACCAACTGCATATAAACTCTTCCAAAAAATAGAAGAGAAGGTAACACCTCCTAACTCATTTTCTGAGGCCAGTGTTAGCCTGATACCAAGCCCGACAAACATATTACAAGTAAAGAAAACTATAGACCAATATTCCGCATAAGTGCAAAAACACTAAAAAAAATTAGTAAATTGAATCCAGCAAAAAGGATACAATCCAACAAAAGGGCAGACATCATAATTCAGTAGGGTTTATCATGGGAAAGGTTGATTCAACATTTGAAACTCAATCAATGTACAAACTAAAACAAATTTTAAAACCTCATCATTATCTCAATAATATGGAAAAAGCATTTGACCAAATTCAGCACTCATTCATGATAAAAATTCTCAGCTCATTAGGAATAGGAGTATTCCTTAACTTGATACAGAATGTCTGCCAAAAATGTGCAGCTAATGCCATGCATAATGGTAAAGGACTGAATGCCATGCCCCTGAGATCAGGAACATTTCAAGCATGTCCACTTCGACCACGCCCATCTGACGTTGCATCGGAGGTCCAGCTAGTGCAGTAGACAGGAAAATAAAAGACGCGCAAATGAGAAACAAAATAAAACTATTTCTATCTGCAGATGACATGATTGTCAACATAAAAAAAACTCAAGAAATCTAACCCCCCTCTAGAAGTAATAAGTGAGTTTAACAATGTTTAAGGATGAAAGTTTAATGTAAAAAAATATCAATTTCTATATACAAGTAATGAACAACTAACTGATAATCAAAATTCTGAAAGTATGCCATTTACAATAGCACAAAAAAAGAAAAACCCATGAAAAATTTAGGTCTACATCTAATAAAATATGTTCAGGATCTTTATCCTGATAACTACAAAACACTGGTGAAAGAAAGCAAAGAAAACCAAAATAAATACAGAGATATATACTATTAATGGATTGGGAGGATTGCTGTTGCTAAGATAGCAATTTTCCCCAAACTGATCTATAGATTCAACAACTACCTCAATAAGATTATTTTGTAGATATCAACAAGCTAAAGTTTTGCTAAGATAAGGGAGCTTAAGTAGCCAAAACAATTTTGATAAAGAATAAAGTTGGAGGACTCATACTACCTACTTTTAAGATTTCCTCTAAGGCTACAGTCATCGAGAGAGCATGGTGCCGGATAAAAGTCAGGCACGTGTGTCAGTGGAGAGGCCAGGAGCAGGCCTGCACCCATGTGGCTGATTCCTTGAGAAAAGCGAAAGGGAATTCCTGGGAGAAAGGCTCATCCTTCTACAAGTAGTGCGAAACACACAAGTATCCTTGTGAAGATGAGTTTGACTCATACTGCACATCTTCTGCAAAAGTTCACTCAAAATGGATCAAAGACCTAAATATAAAACCTAAAACAATTGCCCTGGCTGCTGGAACTCAGTGGATTGAGTGCTGGCCTATGAACCAAAAGGTTGCCGGTTTGGGTCTTGGGCCAGGGCCCCGGTTGGTGGCATGTGAGAGGCCACCAATCGATGTTTCTCTCCCTCTCTTTCTCCTCCCGTCCCCTCTCTCTAAAAATAAGTAAATAAAATCCTTTTTAAAAATCTAAAATAATAAAACTGCTGGAAGAAAACAGGAGAAAATCTTTGTGACCTTGGACTAAGCGATTTCTCTTAGTAGATAAAACATCAAAGGTATGGTTTACAAGATAATAAATTGTGTTCCATCAAAATTTAAAATGTTTGCTTTCAAAATAATGAAAAGCTACAGAGTGAAAGAAGATATTTGCAAATCACATATCTTACAGAAGATATCCAGAGCATACAAAGAAACTTCAACATTCGCAAGATGCTACATTTGTATCCACCAAAACCCATACGTTGAAACCCGAGTGCCCGATGGTGTCAGGTGAGTCCTGTGGAAAGTGATCAGGTCCTGAGAGCAGAGTTCTCATGAACAGGATGAGGGCCAACAAAACGCCAGGCACTGAGCTAGGTGCTAGGGAGAGCAATGGTAAAGGCAAGCGTGGTCCCTGTCTCAGTGGAGGTTTTATTCTAGTAGGACAGACAGGTAATTCCACGGTGATTTAAAAACAGCTGTGATAAACATGAAGATGATGAAGTCCAGGGGGTTAATTGAACATATAAGAGTGGACCTGAAGGAGTCTGGGTGCCCTTTCTCTTCTGTGCCCCAAGAAATAAGTGAGTTTCCCAACACTGGTCAACCAGTAAAAGAGGAAGAACCTGAACCTTGTCTTCCTACTTGGGTATTCTTGTGGTCTCTGGACCAAACTCCAGAGCACTTCATATTCGGGTCCATAGCCCCGTTTTCACTATACTCAAGAGAGAAACAGCTGGAATTTGATGAATAAACATGTCTGAGATTTTAAAAAATATTCAAAACACAAGTATCACTAAAATTGGGTCGGTGAAACCATCCCTGTTCTGGAAGGCTGATGGCGTATCCTTGACATTTACAAGCATAGCAAAGTTAAAACACTCAACACACCCAGGCTGGGACACAAACAGATGGGTTGGCAGGTGTTGTTCCTGTCTCATGATAGCACCGTGACCACCACGCAGCCTGCCATGTTCTTTCTTACATGGGTTGAGCCATTTTTGTCTGAAGTGATCTTCAATATTGCAATTTTTCCAAATTCTTTCATTTTCCCATAACTAGGAATCACTCTAATTTGGCACTGTTTAATTCAAAATCAGTTTCCTATGCACCTACTATGTGCCACACTCTAGGGAGACGGGGAAAAACCTCAATCTCTGTTCCTAAGAAATTCACAGTCTAGTAGTGAAGTGATGAACAAATGAACTATTCTTGATTCTTACCTGGTATCTTCATACTTCCCCCCTCCCCGCAAACCCAAAGCTCTCCTAGCGTGCTGATGCAAGACATCAAGACAAGTCACACTGGATTTCACTTCATTTCCCTTTCTTACCTCTTAACTGCCTTCCTAACTTCAAGTTGGGCATAAGATGCTTGACAACATGACTCACCACTAGAATCCAACTCCTTGGCATCATACCTGCCTCCAACAAGATGCCTTCAAAGCCCCTAAGCCCTGTTTCTTTTCTGGGTGTTCAGTGAGCTCATTTCTAAGATCCACCTCCAAGGCTCAAGTGTGTGGCAACACTCAGATTCCCTCCCTTGCTCTGAAATTTCTATACCCAGTTACGATCATTATTTAAAAAAAAGTTAAGCATTCCAAGAAGCCCTCTTGCAAACAGCCAGTCTTGACTTCGCAGGAAGCGAAGGTAGTCCCCTGCTATTTCCTGCTGCCTCAGAGTCCTCGGGGAAAGAATGTGAGTAAGAGGACGCCGAGTGGGAGCGTCCTTCCTGAGCTGCGTCGCTAGGCAACCCCAGGTGTGACGATTCGAAGAAAGTGATTACGGTGCAAGAACTCGGGCCAGGGACTCCCTGCCACCACGTGGCACTGACTTTTGGGGTGCGGTCCTGGGCCCTCCAGCCTCCCTTTGGGTCCTCATGGTGCCACTTCAAAGCGCTCCGTCCCAGCCTTCCAAACCAATTGCCATTTCTTGGGGGCTGGCCAGGGTCAGGCTCATAGTGAACCCGCACTGCCCGGGTGATGTCTTCTGGGAGAGCCACGTCACTCTTCTCTGTTTCCAAAAAGCCGACAGACGGACACCTCAGGTCACATTCGAGCCTCAAGAGCCTGGTCATCGCACCATCGGCCCACCTGGACCACGGCACGTCTGGGGTGGGCGGGGCCGCGACCGGTCCTTCGAGACCCGACGGCGGCCTCCCGCGTCGGCCCCGCCCCCCACTTCCGGCCGGACCGCGGTCACGTGTCCCGACTCGCCCCGCAGACGCGGCTCCTCTCGCGTCCAGTGTCCCGTCTTCCCTTCCGCCGGAAGTGGGGCGACTTTCCTTTTCCGGCTACGGGTCCCCAAACGGAGGGGGAGGCCGGACGGGGCAGTGGAGCGGCGGCGGGGGCGGTAATGGCGGAGCTGGTGCAGGGGCAGAGCGCTCCGGTGGGGATGAAGGCGGAGGGCTTCGTGGACGCCCTGCACCGGGTCCGGCAGGTACGGGCGTGGCCGGCTGGCGGGAGCACGGGGGCCCGAGGCGGGGCCGGGCCGAGCCCGATGGGGAGGAGGGGTCGGGCCTGGGGTCGGGAGGCAGCTCGGGCTGACGCCCCAGCCGGGGTTGGCGGCTCCTGGGGGCTCCTGCAGTCGGGGCGGAGCCGAGAGGCGAGACGCTACCGCGAGGCCCAGGCCCAGCCCGTCTGGCGGGTCTGCCAGGTGCTTGCAGCTGTTGGGACAGGGTTTGCCCAGGACGCCTGGACCCATCCCTTGCGGCCGCAGCGGGACCTTCAGGGCAGCCAGCGAGCGTGGGGTTCTGAGGTTCGCGAGGGGAGCGGACTGCGGGGGCGCACGGCGAGGACCTGGGTATCGCCAGAAGGCGACTGTCTCAGGCGCAGCAGCTCCTTAAAACTTGGAAAACATAGTCTTCGGACTTTCTTTATTTCGAGGGTGGAGAAGAGGGGATCGAGGGTTTTTATTTTTGAGGGTGCTCTTGGAGAGGGGAGAGAGGAAAATGTTAAGGAGTTGTGGGTGGTACAGAAAACGTAGAGATTTCTTATGGGCAAGAGTTTTTCCTCTTGCGGGGAGAATGTGATAGGGACTCATTCCAGCAGTGAAAACTTACTATCTGACAATGTCGTGCATTTTGTCAGAGTTAAATAATCTGATTTTTAAGAGGTTATTACAAGCTTCTCTGGAGAATGAATATGGGGCCTGCCATATGGGGCTTCTGACATGGTGCTTGGAGCAGAACACGTCCTTGTGTTGTGTGTAAAGCTTTCTGACAAGTCAGCTCTAACACTTAAACTTCTGCCAGGTGTCTTGTATTCATCATCTCTTCCTATTTGATTGTAGGTATACTAACTGATATTCTAAAAGTTGGGCTGTAACTAATTACTGCTTGATTCCTAACAGAGAGCCACAGGACTCATTGTATTAGAAGATCCACTTGGTCACGTGAAGATACGGTTTTTCAATCTCTTTCCAGTATTCCAGGGGAGGGAACCCTCCCTGTTTCCCAGATACTGACTTTTCATTTTAATACTGACGCTCCTATAGACATTATGTTGGATCCCCGAACTTTCCAAACCTGTGGTTCCACCTAAAATGTTACCCGGTGACTTGTTACTTACTGCCCGGGCACCAACCAGTACAGTAGTGAGCATCCACCTTACTTAGACTTCAGAGCTGGCCAGTGGCCGTCATGGATGAACATGCCACCCCGCTCCCCTTCCAGCACCCTGCCTGCCGGCGCGTTACACTGCTCTCTCCTCTACAGGGTCCTGAACCTTGTTTCTCACTGGCTACTAATATGTAATGGCTTTCACTCTGTGCTGATGTGTGACAGTCACCTTGTTGGCCCTCTGTATCCAGGAAGAATTATAGTCACTACCCTAAAGAGCTCAGATCCTCAGTTTGCAGAAGGCCTGTAGTTGAACATAACATGAATTTTGAACCATTGAGAAGACTTTCTGCTTCTCTTGAGCCAGTGGTTGAGCTCACATTCCTGGACAGCCTGCTCAAGAGGGTGGGAGACCCTCTGTTAAATGCTGACCTAATGTGGATTGTGGAAGCAGTGGTGTGTACTACTAGCAGAGAAAACTTCATTGGAAATGTTCCCAGCTCTGAAATACACCATTGACTGGAGCGGTAATAAGCCCAATGGAGACACTGCAGTGAGTGTATTGCTTCTGAATGTTAACTGCTGGAGGTCGATACTATCTCCAAGGATTTGATGGCCTTTAAAAACTAAAGAAAATAAACAGGTTTGTGGGTAATTTTAGGTTTATTTATAGATTTGCATTGGGCAAGAACGCAGTGGTAGAAATCTAAAACATTGTATGCTTATAGTAAAACTTCCCTGAAAGGATCTCATATCATTTGAGTATCGGGATGGTGGTGGTTCTGTACCTCTCCATTGCAGACACAGCATGTTGCAGAGATGGGATTTTTTTTTCCCCCCAACAGTAACTGGAAGTAAAAGACTGTATTTATTTAAATGATTGCAAAGCTTTCCTCCCTCTCATGTGTCCTCATAAACACCGGCAACAGTCTGTACGGCCCTCAAAAGTTTGTCAGGAGCAGGAGACTGTCTTGTGCTCAGTTTATCTAGAAAATCATAATAGCATCTGAGTTGATCCTGCTGGGATTTGAACCTGCAGTTTCTGTGAAGTCTGGTGTTTGGAGTCCTGCACCTGACCTACTCAACTTCCCCGCTGGCATCTAGAAGCCTCCTTGTGTAGCCTTTGAACTTTTTCCAACAAAGGGAACCAGTTGTTGCTGTTAGTGTTTGGCACAAATGGGGGGTCCAGCCATTCCATAGGGAAGGGCGCAGGTGTAGAAACGTGATCTGGTTGAGTGCCGTTGACGATCATCTACTGGGTACTCACCATCGTGTTCAGTTCTCCCGTCATTGGCAGCTTAGCAGTAGTAAAGTGCTCTCTCTTAAACTTGTTCAGAGAGGGCAGGATCCTACTATGGTGGGATGTGGACTGACAGCCAAAATAGGGCATTCTGTTCTCTGGCCACCCTGCACCTGTACCCTAATTGTTCATCTAGGTTATAAGGGGACCTCATGGCGATGATGAATGAGTGAATGAATAAATAAAATCTGTTCTATTCAGTTTTCCAGACATGTCCAAATGTTTCCAGAAAGCCCACTACTGGTGGTTTAGTAGCATCTGTTGTCAGGCACACGTACATTTGCACGTCAACAAGACAGTGTGACACTGCAGTGTATTACAGGTTCCCAGGAGCCTTCCCTAGACTGGGCCAGCTATGTGCCCATGACCAAATAAACAGAAGAAATTCTGTGGCCAAACTGCTAATGTGTTCTCAGGACTTCTGGTTTAGCCCCAATCAGTGCCTTCGTATTGCACGACTCCATAGTATTCTAGCCGCACTCGTACAGTGTCATTGGTGCGTCATGGAGTTGAGTGGTACGTTGATTCTGTACCGAAATGTTTGCGATCAAGCCACTGTAGAATCAATAGAAAGTAACAACCTATTTTTTTTACCAGCACTTTAAAAAAAAAAAAAAAAAAATGATTAGTGAGAGTCCTCAGAAATTCCACAGCCCTCCAGAAAATGCCTCCCAGGGCTGCTGCCTCATACTTTGAGCCCGAGCAGCGGGTGATTTGGCATGAGTGCCGTAGATAAGCACCAAACTTCATTTAAGAGGACGTGCATCCATCGTTAAAGGGAAAAGCCTGTGTTCATCAACCACTGGGTGCTCTCTGACAGATGCTGCCTGTGCCTACTTAACACATTACATTTCTGACTCATGAAGCCGAATGTGCTGGATTTGTAAGTCGTAAGTTATGCTCCACTGAGGTCAGTGGTTGAGTAGCTAAAGTCATTTCACCAGGAATTTGCTCCTGCGTGACCATTTTTTTTAGCTTTCGCAAACATTTGAAGAAAACCAGTATCTACGGGAAATCTGTGGGCTCCTGTATGTTCAATGGGACCCCGTAGAGTACCCTGCAAACAGCGAGTCCTGAAAGGGAGCTGGTGGTGTGAGTGAGTGCAGCTGAGTCACCACACACGACTGGCAGTGCTGGACTTCAGATTTGGTATTGAAAGGTAGACACTAAATGGGCAGTATCTGTGCCCCTAAGGCTTTTCTCATTTTCAGCTGAGACTCTGTCCTTCTCTCAAAACCGGATGTGTGTTTCCCTCAAAAGTTCGGAGGCCAACTTTGGTTTCCCCTGAGGTCCCAATTATTTGTAGATAGAAAGTTGCGCAGACCAGAGTTCTCAAAGGGGAGGCCCGCGGGCTGGGCGAGACACTGTGGCCTTGCAGACGTGCTTTGTGTGACCCACACAGGGCCAGCACTCAGGAACCGGAATGAATGCTCATAAGAATCGAGATTTCTAGCTTCTCTAGGGAAGACCTGCTCCCACGTTTTGCAGGGACATAGGGCAGGAGCTGGGCAGGCCCTGCCCCTTGCGAGGCTGCTGAGCGCCCGCTGCCTCATCACTGCCGCTAGCTCCACTTTACACTGCCCATTGGGTGCCCGGTCAACAGCCTTTCCCCTCATCCTGTTTCAAGTAGTGAGCCCATCGTCTCTGGGTTTTATTTGCAATTTATAGTGGAAAAAACTCTGGATGGAGAGTTGGGCAATCTAAATCTGCAAGCAGCTGCGTGACCTTAGACTAGGTTAGCCTTTCCCAACGTTTGATTTGCATGCTGTTAATACTTATATCATCCACGGAGAAGGGCCTATGGGTAGATAAGTTTGGGGACTACAGGGCTAAATAAAGGTGAATTGGCTTCTTCCCTGCAAGACTTCTCATTGCCTTTAGAAGTCTCCTGTGGATTAAAGCGTACAGTGGTATGGGGTAGGGGTTGTGAACATCCCGAAGTTAGGTCCCTTCATGCCCACTTTTCATAAAACCAGATCCCATTCTGTGGGCCAGACTTGAGGAAATATTGAGCTAGGTAATCTCAGTGGTCCGTTCAAGCCCATGAATATTCAGAACTTTCCTCTAGGTGGATGTGAGAAAAAAAAATTTGGCCAATGTTATTTTGGCTTTTCTGCTTTGTAATATGTTATACAGCAGGTCCTCAAAAAAGTCTTTTCGTTCATGTCGTTCAGTTGTAATGATGAGATGCCCTAGGCACTTAGCTCTTCTTTACAGCAACAAGCCTGTGGCAGACGTTTCTTTACGATTTGTGTCGCTGCAGATCCAGGAGCCTTTCATGACATTAAGTGAGGACTAAATGTATTGAGTATCTGTTCTGGCTTCCCTCTTCCAACTTTCCTATGCAACCCTTTTACTCTGAAGAACCATCCCTCTTGAAAATGTTTTGCGCTTTGAGTTTTGTCAAGATACTCGGGAAAGAATAGTCAGTGTGTCTTCTGGAGGCATGAACTGCACTTTTATCCTGATACCAGATGATAGCAGATCCCTTGCTCTCTGTTAGTGGGGGTGGGGGTGTGACTCTGATTACCTGCCACTATTTGAGGATCTGCTGAAGCTCAGGCTACTTGCTGGATGCGG